TAGGTGTGAGGTGTTGCACTTTGGAAAGTCAAGCCAAGGTAGGACTTATACAGGAAATGGCAAGGTCTTGAGGAGTGTTGTGGAACAGAGGGACCTAGGAGTACAAGTACATAGTTTGTTGAAAGCAGCATCACTGGTAAACAGGGAGGTGAAGAAAGCATTTAGTATGCTGGCCTTCATCGGTTGAGGCATTGAGTATAGAAGTTGGAACGTTATGTGACAGTTGTATAAGTCGTTGGTAAGGCCGAACTTGAAGTGTAAAGATTTGGTCACCTTGTTATAAGAGAGACATAGTTAAACTGGAAAGTGTGCTAAGAAGATTTACGAGGATGTTGCCAGGACTAGTAGGTGCGAGTTATAGCGAGAGGTTGGCCAGGATAGGACTTTATTCCTTAGAATGTAGGAGAACGAGGGGTGATCTTATTGAGGTGCATCAAAACATGAGGGGCACAGATAGGATGAATGCATATGGTTTTTTTCCCAGGGATAGGGAATTGAAAACTAGAGGGGCATAGGTTTAAGGTGAGAGGAGAAAAATTTAAGAAGGACCTGAGAGGCAACTTCTTCATGCAGGGAGTGGTGTGTATATGAAATGGGCCACCAGAGAAAGTGGCTGAGGCAGGTACAATAGCAACATTTAAAGAACGTGTGGATAGGTACATGGATGGAAAGGATTTAGAGGGATATGGACCAAATGTGGGCAGTTGGAACTAGCTGAGTGTGTACCATGGTCAGCATGGACCAGTTTGGGCTGAAGGGCTTGTTCCCATGCTGTATTACTCTATAACAGCTGAAGTTCAGTTTCATGCTGCTACTGTGCAGAAGCAACACGAATGGTGTTCGCCATAAATAGGAGGCCACTGTCAAGTCAAATAGGCATTCTGATGAGGAAGTGGTATCTGAGTTTCAGTGTCACTGTGATGCCAGATACATAGTCCATTCCTCTGAAAGACTGGTGGCATATCTCTTTGGCTGATTGCAACATGGAAAGTACTGTTTATACTCAATCACATCTGTTAAACCCACAACAGTCCTCACCATGGGTTGTTGTGAACTACCAAATGCCATTTTCTATAGCTTCGCCTCACACAGGTAGATTTATTGTTATTTGTGCATTAAACAATTCATCTCAACCTTTTTTTAATTCATTCATGGGATGGGGGTGTCGCTGGCTAGTTCAGCATTTATTGCCCATCGGGCAGATAAGGGTTAATCACATTGCTGTGGGTCTGGAGTCACATGTAGGCCAGACCAGGTAAGGATGGTGTTTCCTTCATTAAAGGACATTAGTGAACCAGATGGGTTTTTCCTGACAATTGACAATGGATTCATGGTCATCATTAGACTCTTAATTCCAGATTTTTATTGAATTCAAATTCCACCATCTGCTGCGGCAGGATTCGAACCCAGGTCCCCAGGACATTACCTGGGTCTCTGGATTAACAGTCCAGTGATAATACCACTAAACCATTGCCAGCCCTTCAGGATTCCCCTTCCCCTCCCCCTCTCCTGCTGTCACATTCCCTCTGTAGTGAGATCCCCATTTTTTCCAATCTCTGGGATAAGAATTTTCTCCTGAATTCCTGACTGGATTTATGAGTGACTGTCTTATATTTCAGGCTCCTGGGTTTGTTCTCAGCCACATGTGGAACTATCTCTGTCAAACCCTTCAGTAATTTCAAAAGTGTTCATCAGGCTACCCCTCGGCCTTGTCATTTCTTAAGAAAAGGGCCTAGCCTGTTCACCTTTTCTTGACATTGATCAAACCCTTGGCTCTTGCTTCATCTTTCTAGCATCTTTCTAGTGCCTCCATTTCTTTTTCTGAATATTGTTCAGAGATGAACAGGTTTGGTTCCTTGATGTTCATGAGATTTTTTTTTGGTGAATGCAACTTTAACCAGGGAGATGGTAAGGATTACAGCTCCCTCTGGCCATTTGTGAAAGTTAGATCCCCTCTCTGTCCCTCCGTGATCTCAGTACTCCTCAATCCCGATCACAACCCCATTAACAATCTCCATCGCCCCAGGATGGTGGGGGGGGTGGGGAGGGGTAGTTTCACTGACCCTTGGACACTCCACTCCATGGAGCTGGAAGAAAGCAACTCCCACTCATCCCAAATTCCTCCATCACACCGAGACTCGGGGATTCCCGAGAGAGGGATGTTGGTCCGTGATCCCTGGGGTAAGAGTCAAATCCTCTTTTGGATATGGGCGTGGAGTAGGACTCAGAAACAGGCCTTTCCCATCATTTTCAGCTAAGGCCTGACCTTAAGCCCTACCTTCTCTCTCTCTCTCTTCACATCTCCTTAATAGAAACAGGAAATGTTCTGAGTTACTTCCACCCGACTGAGGAAACTGCCCGAAACTAATTATGTTCTCATTGTTATTTTGTTACCCAGTCATGTCCAAGTGTCTCAACAGTGGTGGGTAGTGGGTGGTGGTGAGAAGGGGAGAGGGAAAGTGTGAAAGAACAGAGTCTGGAGGAGGGATGAGGTGGATAAATGTCCACAGAAGGACAGAGAGAATTGGAGAATATGGGAAGAGGGTGGAGTAGTATCCCTACTCCCTATGAGTTACCTCCCTCTGGGAACCAAGAATAAAGTTTCAGAATTAAAAACCATTCTTACTAATTATTTTAAAACTTCTTTCAGACACAAAGCTTAAAAGGTACAGATTGCTAGATCTCCCAATTTAATAACAGACTTAAGCAGTGGGAGAGAACTCCCAAAAAGATCTTGTAATGTCAAACACTTCAGTTTACAGAGAGGATTCACAGCAGATCAAATAAATATTCCAATTCACAATTAGATTCTGGTAAATTACAAAAAACTGCATCAGGTGGAAAAAATCCAAGAGATGAAACAGTAACAGGAGATAGCAAATCAACTGCTTCCAAACTTTCAGTCTTTATAAATATTTATTTGCAGGGTATCAGTGTTGCTGGCTGGGCCCAGCATTTATTGCCCGTCCCTAGTTGCTCCTTGAGAAGGTGGGGATGAGCTGCCTTCTTGAACCGCTGTAGTCCTCCTGCTGTAGGTTGACCCACAATGTTATTAGGGAGGGAATTCCAGGATTTGGACCCAGCGACAGTGAAGGAACGGCGATATATTTCCAAGTCCGGATGGTGAGTGGCTTGGAGGGGAACTTGCAGGTGGTGGTGTTCCCATGTGTCTTCTACCCTTGTCCTTCCAGATGGAAGGTGCTATCTAAGGCGCTCTGGTGTAGATGGTACACTCTGCTGCTACTGAGTGTCAGTGGTGGAGGCAGTGAATGTTGAAGGTGGATTGGTGCTGATCAAACTATTTACGTTGTCCTGGATGGTGTCCAGCTTCTAGAGTTTTGTTGGAGCTGTGCCCATGCAGGCAAGTGGGGAGTATTCCATCACACTCCTGACTTGTGCCTTGTAGATGGTGGACAGACTTTGTACTGAGGGATCGCCGCACTGTCGGAGGATCAGTGCTGAGGGAGCGCCGCACTGCCGGAGGGTCAGTGCTGAGGGAGTGTTGCACTGTCGGAGGGTCAGTGCTGAGGGAGCGCTGCACTGTCGGAGGGTCAGTGCTGAGGGAGCGCTGCACTGTCGGAGGGTCAGTGCTGAGGGAGTGCCGCACTGTCGGAGGGTCAGTGCCGAGGGAGCGCCGCACTGTCGGAGGGTCAGTACTGAGGGAGCACGGCACTGTCGGAGGGTCAGTACTGAGGGAGCACAGCACTGTTGGATGGTCAGTACTGAGGGAGCACAGCACTGTTGGATGGTCAGTACTGAGGGAGCACAGCACTGTCAGAGGGTCAGTACTGAGGGAGCACGGCACTGTCAGAGGGTCACAAATTAATTTGCCCTCTCTAGTGAATATAAAAGATGCCATTATCCTACTTCAGAGAAGAGCAGGCAGTTTGCAGGGAAGTGGGTCTCCTGGTTACTATTTATTCCTTAACAAACATGAACAAAAAGGTGATTACTATCTGGTTCACACTATGGGTAGACAACACTTCAGAAGTACTGTGTTGTCTGTAAAACACTTTGACATGCCCTGCAGTTGTGAAAGCCATGATAGAAATGCATGTCGTTTAGTTTTGTTCTGTCACTCACGGCCGTGAGTGTATCACTGTTCTTCAGTTGATTCAGGCACTGTGCCAATGCGAGTGTCCCATTCATTCCAGTTGACCTCATTTAACCTGGATGGAGGTGATGGAAGAGGATGACAGTATTAGTGATTTGGTGCTGTGCTGCAAACTGTTTGGTTTCCATGCCTGGATCTGTTACTGTTCCTCACACATGCTCAGTCTTGAGTGGGCCCATAGGGTCAGGCTGACACACTGGCCCCTTGGTCAGATTACAATGTCCCATCGAGTGCAGGGGCTCTTTGGAGAGATGGTGGCTTTTCAGTCGCTCTCTCACCTGCTGTTATTTAGCTCGCTGCTTCTCACTCCCTTCACACTGACCCCACCCCCCGAGATCCCATGGTGAAATTTTGTGAGGATTTGAGAGTTGTTGAGTAGGGAAGGGGATGGTGGAGGGGAGAGTGGAAGATTGTTGGAGGGGGGGGGGTGCAGTGGTGGGGCAGGGTATTTTAAAACCGCTGGGTCTGCCCTGAGAAACATATCAAGGGCACAGCTTTTTACAAAGTGTGTATGGAGCATTGAGGCAGGCTTTGGAGAATAGACAGCTCGGCTGTACCCACTGACAGAAAAATAACCACAAACGTGACAAAGGACCTCCCAAGGGTCAGTGTTTCACCAGCCACATTGCCGCTTTTGATAGTGGGACCCTAATCTCCTTCAGCGAGCACCCACCCCCCAACCCGAACTTTGGGGGTCACAGCCTCCAGACCCTGCGACTGATACAGATGCTTTGTTTAGCTTCATCCATCCATTACGCCTACGTCCCCCCATTAACCCCCCAGTCTCCCTCCAACAGACACCCACTCCGATCCCTGTGTGAACCGTCTGGATGACAGAGCGGAGACCCCAGCCGATTGTATTCTTTCCCAGACCGGGGCAACTCATGAGACTTCCTGAGCTTGACTGTCTCCTGAAGTTGGGATTGGCGGGGGTGGGGGAGGGTGGGGGGGTGGAGGGGGAGGGTGAGGGTCATTGAGCAGCGGGGGTGCCATTGGTCCAAATATTCGGTCATGTGCTACAGTGCACGTACCGATTGGACCAAACTCCAGCCACTCAGGCTTAAGACCATCGGGGTATAGGAGCAGAAGTAGATGAATGGCCTTTGAATGAGCTCCACCAGCCAATGAGATTATGGCTGATCTGATCACCCCCAACACAACTTGGATTGAAAATAAATTCCGCCACCAACATTGTTGTGTTATTTCCAAATTAGTGGGGTTTTTTTTTTGGAGACCCTTGGACCTAGTGATTACCTGAGACACCACCGTTTGTCCTCCGTCCCTTCAGGTGTGAGTCCGACAGACACCTCTGTAAAACTGTGGCCATTCTTGCATCTGGTCCGGAGCCATTTTGGTAAAGTTCTCTCAAAGTGTAGAGTGGTCTCAGCCCTCTAGAGGAGTTAGATCGAGTTATATTGTGTCTAAAACGCAGAACAGGCCATTCAGCCCAACTAGTTCAGGCTGATGTTGTGTTCCACACCAGCTGCTCCCACTCTACTTCCTCCCACCATATCCACATATCCACCTTTTCTATTCCCCATTGTGCTTCCCTTTAAATGTAACTGCACTAATCTCCTCACTGTTCCTGCTGGGATCGAGTCCCACATTCTCACTGCTCCCTCAGTAAAGAGATTTCTCTTGAAATCACTACTCGATTTACTCATGACCATCCAATATCGATTTCCCACTGGTGGAAACAGCTCCTCTTTTTGACCCTATCAAACCCCTTCATTATTTTCAAGTTCACTCAGAGGGAAGAGGCTGTGCCCCTCCAGTCTTTTCCTGTGTTTCCGTGGGATCCACATGTTGCTGTCTGGGCTAGCATCGCCCATCCCTAATTGCCCTTGTGAAGGTGGTAGTGAACGCCTCATTCCATTTGGTGCAGGTATACCTACAGTGCCCTTAAGAAAGAGAGTACCAGGATTTTGACCCAGTGACACAAGGAATAAGCAGCACTCCAAAAGCTTGTGACTTCAAGTAAACCTGTTGGACTATAACCTAGTGTTGTGTAACTTCTCACTTGAGTCTTTTGAGAGAGCAAATACGGAGAATTTTGGATGCAGGAGACTTGGTAATCAAAGGGGCACAGAGGAATCACAGAGCATTTTGCATAAACTGTCGTTGTTGAATGTGCTGCTTGGAAGGGCAGGTGGAAGCAGATTCATTAGGAACTTCCAACAGGGAACTGGAGAAATACATCAAAGCTCTGCTACAGGGATGATAAGCTAAGTGACCTCTTTCTGTGCTCTACCTTAAGATTCAAAGCAAATCCCTAAACTCAAGAAAGGAAGGTAATATTTGCTGGCCTTTTACAGAGTGGGATAAATCTCACCAACATCTAATGAATCATGATTGGGACTGTGTAATACTTCCCTCACTAACTCAGAGCAGGCTCCACACTGTGACCCAGACGTGAAGCTGTTGGAATTCTGTGCTGACCTGCAGCTTCCAGATCTTCTCACTCTCACTGGAAATCTTCATCACGGTCTCTCCCATCAAAGCAATCAGCATATTCAGGAGGAGGACAAAAGTCAGGATGACATACAGTACCAGGAGCATGTGGAAAAGGATGGGGAACCTGGAGTGTTTCTGGATCCCCAGGTCTCCCAGGCCAATGGTGAGCTTGAAGAGCTCCAGGATGGCGGAACTGAATCCATTGTATGGGCAGTCACTGTCTGTGGGGCATTCCTCAATCAGGGAGGCAAGAGCTGTGGGCAAAAGCACAAACATCTTCTGGACCCATGTTTGTAAACGACAGGAAGAAAAGAAAGTAAAAACAAGTTGAATTTCTCTAAAGAATTAAAGAAAGTGCCTTTAAAAACCACCTGTCACCCCAAAGCTCTCCATATGATTCATGTTTGATGTGCAGTCATCATTGTAATAGAGAAAATGCCAAACCACGCATTGGACGATCCCATAAACAGAATCTGTGTCTGTTTTGTGATGATGGCTGAGGACGCAGGGAGAACTGTCCTGCCCTTCCCTATATCTTTTACAACGGCCCAAGAGGACAGGCAGGCTCTTGGTTTAATATCCCACCTGACAGTTGACACTGTGACACCACAGTGTTCCCTCAGTATGGCGCCGGGACAGAACAGTCAGTGTAAATTCTGTGCTCAAGTCTCTCGTGGAAAATTGAACCCAGGGCTTCTGCCTCATGATAAGAGTTGTTACCCTCGAGACAACAGGAGAACGAGCATTATACCCTACGCACTGGTGTTTCTCTTTGAAATGCCTGAAACTTTAAGACTTTAAGGACGTAATGGAAAGGGAGATAAACATTAAACAAAGTTGCTGGAAAAGTTCAGCAGGTGTGGCAGCATCTGGGAAGGAAAAATCAGAGTTAACGTTTCAGGTCTGGTGACCCTTCCTCAGAACGGGTCTGATTAACTCTGATTTTTCCTTCACAGATGCTGCCAGATCTGCTGAGCTTTTCCAGCAACTTCTGTTTTTGTTCCTGATTTACAACATCCGTGGTTCTTTCGGTTTTTATTGGGATAAATGTTAAACTTGTGCCAATTTTCTAATATTCATTCATGGAATGTGGGCATCATTAGCTGTGCCAATATTTATTGCCCATCCCTAATTGCATGGAAGCCAGTTAACAGTGAACCACATTGCTGTGGGTCTGGACTGGAGTCACCTGTAGGCCAGACCAGGTAAGGATGGCAGATTTCCTTCCATGAAGGACATTAGTGAACACCAAGGTACAAAACTGCCAGAGCATCGTGACTGAGCGTTTTCTCCCCACCTACCTCCTGCTTCCCCACCACCCCCCCATTTCCCACAGCTTGGAAAAACAAACAGAGGAGCCTCTGGGAATCCTGGAATGATAAAAGGATGTAGATTAGTCTGGGGCAAACCCCTCACTGAGTTCTCCAGCCAGCTGGACACAATGCAGTAAATGGATCTCACAAACCATGGGCTCTCTATCGAGATAGTGACCAGACAAGAGCAGAAATAATTCCCCATCCAGCCTTACCTGCTGCAAATCCCACAATGAAAACTGCGTAGACCAGGAGGAATCGAAGGATATCCTGCAGAATAATCTGTCAAAAGACAGCGAGAAGGATTGTCCTTTAACTGATTGTGGTGCAGTTTCCATGTTCTTTACAGACACACCACAGACTACACAACCAGCAGGAGGCAGTGTGTTACAGTCCCCTCACATGGAGTTGCTGTGCCAACGTTACACTTTCAGAAGCGGCATGTCCTGGGCTAGAGCCTCCGGGATTGACCGGGAATCTCTCACACTCTCCCCATTTGTCATCATCCAGAATTGGAGGCTGAACTTTCCCTCGAACCTCTGGCCCAGAGATTGGGAGGCCACCCGCTGCATCAGCAGACTTCTGAGGTGACTGGCTACGAACAGATGTATCCAGTGAGAATCTCGTTCAGCCAAATTGGTCCTTGGTATGTCTCAGATTGACCAAACATGGCCTTATCGAGCCTCAAAGTGAACTTGCTGCCAAATTTGTACACAGCAAAATTCCATAGACCAAAGCTAAGGACTTGCATTGCCACAGCATCTTCCATGGAACTAAGGACATCCAACACTTTGTCCTGCCATTGAAGATAGCAAGGTGTAGAACTGGAGGAACACAGCAGGCCAGGCAGCATCAGAGGAGCAGAAAAGCTGACATTTCGGGTCTGGTGCCATTGAAGTCATTTTTGAAGTGTGTTCCTTGCTAAACTGTAGGAAACACGGGGGCCAATTTGTTCACAGCTACCTCCAACACACGGCAATGTGATAAATGACGTGATCATCTTGTTTAGTGACATTGATGGAGAAAGAAATGCTGACCCAGACACTGGGGAGATCTCCCTGATCATCACAGATTAGTGCCTGGGGATCTATTACATCTGCCAGATCCATTGGAACACAATGTGTGACCCATAAAATCCAACTGAAATTCTGTGGAACATGGGAACATGAGCAGGCCATTCAGCCCTTTGAGTCTATTTTGCCAGCCAATTTTGTGCTAACTCAAGCCATACACTTGGCCATGTGTTTATTTATCTCTTAATATCTTTGACTGTCAAAAATTCTATTGGTTTTGGATACAAATTACAAAGTTATTTGAGCCCCACTAGTTTTTGTGGGAAAGCGACCTACATTTCAACTGAGATAACAAGGTGTAGAGCTGGATGAACACAGCAGGCCAAGCAGCATCAGAGGAGCAGGAAAGTTGACGTTTCGGGCCTAGACCCTTCTTCAGAAATGGGGGAGGGGAAGGGGGTTCTGAAATAAATAGGGAGAGAGGGGGAGGCGGATAGAAGATGGATAGAGAAGAGGATAGGTGGAAAGGAAACAGACAGGTCGAAGAGGCGGGGATGGAGCCAGTAAAGGTGAGTGTAGGTGGGGAGTTAGGGAGGGGATAGGTCAGTCCAGGGAGGATGGACCGGTAACTGAACAAGTGTCTCCTGACTTCTGTCTGAAATCAGAAATCACATGACACCAGGTTATAGTCCAACGGGTTTATTTGAAATCACAAGCTTTTGGAGCGCTGCTCCTTCATCAGGTGAAGTGAACTATCATTGGTTGACTTCCCCTGACCAAGGGGCTACGTTCTGAAAGCTTGTGATTTCAATTAAACCCGTTGGACTATAACCTGGTGTCATGTGATTTCTGACCTTGTCCACCCCAGTCTAACTCCACATCATCTCTCCAAGGTGGCCTAGATCTGATTTGAAGGTCATATCCCCTTTGACCTCACCAGCGAAAAATGTTTCTCTGTCTGTACCTTATCATTTCCTTTTAAGATCCCAAAAGCCACACCGAATATAATTCTGGAATAAGGAATACTGAGGAAATCAAGGGATATGGAGATAAAATGGGCATGAATGATGGATATGTGGTTAGAAAATGGCAGAGAAGGGCTCTCTGTGTCACTATCACTCTTATTACCCCTGCCACAGAGGGTGGGAAGAGGGAATGTTTTGCCCCTGTTTGTCTGTGAATAACATTCCTCAAAAACAAATGGACTGACTCAGTGAAACTTGGTCCACAGTTAGAATATGGAGGGATGGATTCATTTATGGTACATGGCTGGATCTGGATCCTGGAATTTTTCAACATTGGGAAAATAGGGCAAATTGTGTTCTAGGATGTTCTGGGGCATTAGACTTTGAATGATTGTGATTTATCTGAGAACATTATCGAATGTGTCAGCGACAGTGGGGCAATTTGTGATTGCTGTCAAAATGTGTGAACAGAGTTTTCAGAGCAGGTTGGTTGATGAGAATTGGTCTGAAACTTCCTCAGTGAGATGGAAGCTGTTAATAAAAATAGTCCTCTATTTCAGGTTTATAGTTATGGAACATCAGCCAGGTAGGGTAAACCTCAGGGAGAACTCCATAATTGCAGTAATATTGAGTGAATTTGGGTTATGTATTGCACTGAGTGCCTTCTTCATTTGTTTATGTTGCCCCTTGGATCATGCCTTAACTTTCTGCACTCCACCGAATATAAGGCCGGTTTGTCTAATCTCGTCTTAAAATATAATCTGTTGAATCTGCACTGCACTGTCTCCAAGACCAATATATTCTTTCTATGTTGCAGAGCCCTGGGCTCTATGCTGAACTCACAATGTGGCCTAACCAGGTCCCTGTACAAACTGTAACACTGCCCCCACGCACATAACCCTATCACAGGGCTCGGTCTTACCGGGAACATTACCTTTTTAATCATTACGCAGTAAATGCCAGTCAGTTTAAAACCTCGTGTGTAATACAAGACATTGAACCAGCCCAAGGCCAGAGCTAATACGAGCAGTATTCTGGAACCTTCCACTTCCGCCCAGCACAAGGAGTTGAAGATGATCACGAGAATGGCCTGGAGGAAACTGATGAGAAAAAGCAATTTGAATGTTGATGACCCACGTCCAATCAATGAATAAAAAACACGATAACCTGGACACAGCACACTCATGGCTGTGTAACTCTCTCTCTCTCTCACACTCTCTCTCAGAAGGAAAGATGCCAATCTGACGAAGCATGTTTTCACCCTGAAACTGTTGGTAAAGTTACCTGAGGGGAGCTGAGCATTTTTTACTCTGTGAGTTATGATGGTCTGGGACGTGCTGCCTGAGGGGTGTTGAAGCAGATTCAAGATGAACTTTCAGAAAGGAACTGAATAAAAACTTCAAATAGAAACATTTATAGGACTGTAGGGAAGGAGTGGGGAGGGCTGGCACCAATTGTCCTGACAATCCATTGGATTCACTAATGTCGTCTAGGGAAGGAAACCGCCATCCTTACCTGGTCTGGCCTACATGTGACTCCAGACCCACAGCAATGTGGCTGACACTGCACTGCCCTCTGTAAAGGCCTAAGAAGCCCACAGTTCAAGGGCAATTAGGGGTGGGCAATGAATACTGACCTCGCCAGCATCACCCATATTCCATGAAAGAATCTTTGTTCTTTTTAAAAACTGGCTTGCTGTTGCAAAGAGCCAGCAGAGTAAGATGGCTGAATGGCCTCTCCCTCTCTGTCATGTATTGCCCTTTTGTTGAGCTACTGACAAACCGTGCTTAAATGCTTAAATGTTCCCAGTTTCTGTCCTGTACACTCACTGTGTAACAACCCCACTCCTGTCCATTAAATAACCGTCACTCCCCCACTCCCCTCCCTCAGCCTGAGCTGGGAGTTGACTCTGTCCCTCACACAGTCCTAGTCACACTCAGCCTGAGGGTCATCCTGATATTCACACGCCTTACAAAGTTAACTGAAAAAGGAACTTACTACAGGCTGTGAAAGAATCCATCCACCAGGATAGAGTGCCGATTGGAACGCCTCAGATACACCATTTGTGCTCCCTGAAAAAAAAACAGAGGGTGGCAATTTGTCACCATTCACTAGTGTTCCAGGGTCACCCTGATGTCTGTATCTAATCCTGTGCTGTCTCTGTCCTGGGAGTGTTCGAATGGGGACAGTGTAGAGGGAGCTTTACTCTGTATCTAACCC